TATCAACAACCTCTACATTATCTTCCACATCCTTACCATCATCAGCAAATTTGCAGCCTTCATCAACATCACCATCATCTTCACCACCATCATCTTTACCATCCTCAGCACCATCTTCATCAGTCCCACTATTGTCAACATCATCATCTTCTTCAACACTATCATTTACACCATCTTCACCAACATCACCATCACATGTATCATCAACACCACCATCCTCAGCCTCATCTTCATCAGTCCCACTGTCATCATCATCATCAACCCAACCACAACCGCCCTCATTATCAGCAACCTCAAACTCACAGCCTAACTCACCATCCCCACTAACTTCATCACCAACATTAACATCAGCATCAACAACATATTCAACACTAGCATCTACACCGTCATTATCATCGTCACCATCATCTTCAGCACCACTATCATTGCCATCATCATCAACCCTTCCAGCACAGCCCTCACTATCAACAACCTCTGCAGCATTTTCCTCATCCTTATCATCATCAGCTAACTCACAGGCTTCATCGCCAGAATTAAAATCATCATCAACCACATCTTTAATACAATCAACAAAACGATCCTCATCATCTTCACTATCCTCATCACTATTGTCATCATCTTTAACACTATCATCTACATCATCTTCATCACCAACATTGTCATCATCGTCATCAAAAACATCTTCAATACTATCATCCACAACATCCTCATCAGTCCCACTATCATCATTATCATCAACCTCACAAACACAGCCCTCAATATCAACAACCTCTACATTATCTTTCACATCCTTAACATCATCAGCAAACTCACAGCCTTCATCACCATCCCCACCAACATTAACATCATCAAGAACATCTTCAATACTATCATTCACTCCATCTACACCATCATCTGCACCATCTTCATCAGTCCCACCATCATCATCATCTACACCATCTTCACCAGTTCCACTATTGTCATCATCTTCACCATCATCATCTTCTTCAGCATTATCATCTACACCATCTTCATCATCTTTACAATTTTCATCATTAACATTACCATTATCTTCATCATCATCCACATCCTCAATACTATCATCTACACTATCTTCATTATCTTCATCAATCCCACTACCATCGTCAACCTCACCAGCACAGCCCTTACTATTAACAACCTCTACATTATCTTCCACATCATTACCATCATCAGTAAATTCACAGCCTTCATCACCATCCCCATCATCTTCATCACCAACATTAACATCAACATCTTCAATACTATCATTTACACCATCATCATTTTCACCATCTTTATCAGTCCCACTATTGCCAACATCATCATTTTCAACACTATCATCTACACCATCTTCACCAACATTACCGTCACCTTTATCATCAACACCACCATCTTCAATACTATCAACTACTCCATCTTCATCATCCTCAGCCTCATCTTCATCAGTCTCACTATCATCATCAACCCAACCAAAACATCCTTCAACATCAGCAACCTCTACATCATTGTCCTCATCCTTACCATCATCAGCAAATTCACAGCGCTCATCGTCATCCCCACCATCTTCACCACCAACATTAACATCATCATTATCAACAATAACATCTTCAATTCTATCAACAACAGAATCCTCATCCTCTTCACCATCCTCAACATCATATTCATCATTCTCACTATTTTCATCATCACCACCACCACCACAACCATTTTCATCATACTTCTCTTCTTCAAGTTCACCTCATCAATTCTCACCATCTTCACTACAAGCCTCATCATCTTCACCATCAACACCAGCAATAATTCCACCTACTCCATCATCATCAACACTGTCATCATCAGCAGCCTCATCATTTCCATCACCAACTTCAACTTCATCATTCTCAACAACCTCATTATCAGGTGACTATTTTATTTAAAAATAATTATGAACTAACTTATAATTATTTATTTATTTATTTATTTATTTATTTAGTGATTTAGCAGACGCTTTTATCCAAAGCGACTTACAAATGAGGACAACAGAAGCCATCAATTGTAGTGTTAAAACAACTAAAAACAGATCCAAAACTAAAAGCTAAAACTTTATAAATACTACTTATACACATTTTAAAAATAAAGAAATTAAATAAAAATTACAAATGCATACAACAAAATTTCAAAACTTAACATTTAAATGAAAAACAAAAATAAAGCTAAAAACAATTCAAAATATTAAAGAACAAAAGGTATAAGAGTATAATAATGATTCTAACATAACACTAAGCCAAACACCAAAAAAAAAAAACTACATATATGTGTATGTACAACCACACACACATACCTATATATATATATATATATATATATATATATACTGTATATATATACATACACATATATAAAAATATATATATATATATATATATATATATATATATATACACACACACACACACACACACACACACAGTGCCTTGCGTATATACTGTATATATATGCATACACATTTATAAAAATCAATATATATATATATATATTATTTCATGTCCATGTAGTTTGTAAAAAATATTAAAATAACTCAAATTAAATAAAACTAAAACTTAATAAAAGACCTATACAGACCTAGTAAATTCAGACATAATTTAACTAAAATAAAATAAATAACAAATACAAATAATATAAATCAAACAACAGTAGTTTATCAGTAATCCTAAAAAATAACACTGCCAAACTTACATGCTAAAAAAAAAAAACTTACTTACACATAGTAAGAAATGGTTATAAATACTGAAACAGAAGTGAAACAAGTAGTAGGAAAAAGGAGAAATAAAAAGCGATACTTATCTGATAATTATGAACCAAACTGACTCACTAAAAACAGTCTGCTATCACAACATTTTTATGTGAGATCAAATATTATATATTAAGAGTCAGGAAAACACTGAAACTCAGTGATTGTTGTGCTTTTAAAAACAGCCCGGCATCTCAACTTTTCAAAGTCACTAAAGGTAATCTTCCCAACAAATAGTAGTGCTATATGGGAAGAACCATGATAAGGGTTGACAAAATGTACAAAGTCATTGTGCATCCATGAAGAAGTAATTACAAAATTAGTTTATGATAAATCTTTATGATAAATCATCTGCCAATTATTTACCATCATCTACTCTAACAACATCAACAGCCTTTCCACTATTTCCAACATCTCAGCGATCTTCAACACCAACCCCACCATCATCGCAGACACCATCCTCACCAACTTCATCACCATCACCATCATCATCCTCGCTTTCAGCAACACCAATACTAATGTCATCACTGACCCCAGCACCATCTTCATTACCAAATTCACCATCCCCAACATTGTCTTCATCAATAACCTCACCGCCATTATTACCACCAGCAGCAACACCATCATCCTCTTTTTCTCCACCAATCTCGTTGACTTCAATGACTACATCACCATCTACATCATCCTCACCATCATTACCAACCATCCCATTATTTCAATCATCCTCACTGTCATCATCACCAAACTCTCCATCATTCTCAGAATCATCTTCACCACCATCGTCATCATCATTCTTGCCATCATCCCCAAACTCTCCATCATTTAGACCATTCTCACCATCAACACCCTTTATGGGTAAGAAGAAAGTGACCACAGGCCTGCGTGTGCATGTGCGCTCCAAGGATAATATGCAAGCAACACTGAAGGCTGTGCAGGATGTAAGTCACTCCTAAAATTACTTTCAATAGTAAACAAATGTGCTTTTCTGCTAACAAAAACTGCTCCTCAATGAAAATTTTACAGAAAATACGGTTAATACAGTTTGTTCAGCATTAAAACATTAAACTCATATATTGATAGTTGACTAGCATTAATAAATTAACAACACTGGTAACAGCACACTTACATTAGAGAGTATTGTAAGTAATATTGTTCTTCTCTGGGTTTAGTTTGTTCTTCACATGGAAGCCGTCATGAGGAGACAGCAGGCTGAAGACTGCAGGCTACGAGTGTTACACAGCACAGCTATGAAAAAATAAACGTGAAATGAACACCTCACTGAACATGACATCCATGGCACAATAGCTGCTCTATGTAAATATAATTTTTCTGAATATTCTGTGTTTTACAGAAACCTCATTTCCTGAGTATGTTACTAAATGGAAATGTGCTTTTTCACTAGGTGGCACTACAACATAAAACATGAGTAAATAGCACATCACTGGAACAGATGTAGGCCTTTTGTACAAACATTTCATGGATAAAATCATATTAAAAATGTCAAAGAATGATAAAAACTGAGATCACTGAAGCTCTCATTAATATAAGCAAAAAATGTATAGCCCACACAAATATCGGTTTAATTATGCTGGTAAACCATATAAATTTTGTTGTTGTTTTGTTTTGTTTTTTCTTCATTTCCAACGTTTTTTTTTTTTTTTGGTCGAACAAATTTAGTTGTTTTCCAGTGCTTTTTTGAATGTGCTGAGTCTCAGATTTTGTGTGGATATTTTGCATTTACATTTTAGAAACACATTTGTTTTAATTTAGTTTGGAATTATGTACAAACATTTTTGTGGGTGCATTCTTTGTAGCAAAATAATTTTCCGGCATTCCACTCAAATTATTTTCTTTTGAGGAACATAACTTTCTACCTTGACGCCATGCGTCATAGCAGAAAATGTGTGTGAGGTTGCCAGTAAGAAGAAGCAATCTTAAAAAAAATTTTTTAAAGTGCAGTGTTTGTGAAAAATTACTAAATACTTTGGGTCAGCTACTAGAGGGAAAACATAGGGCATTTTAACATATTCCATAAAATATATAAATATATTGATTTTTACAGCATTGTTCCATAGAAGAGTTTTCCTGCACTCTTCATATATATATATATATATATATATGAATGTAACCAAACAGGAATCATAGGCTAATTATATCATAGATGTTGTTTCAAAAGGTAGGATAGATAGTATAATAATAAAATAACTGCCTGTTTCTCAAATATTCTTATTAGGAATCTTTATTTCCATAGTGTAAAATTATTTAACCCACAACAAAAAGGAAAGTTTTAAGCATAGGCTACTTTTATTGTCATAGGCCTTTTTGAATTCAAAGCTGAGTGTTGTAGTTTTTAAAAGTAGCAGCATATAACCTTTCAAAAACCAGAAAATAAAATTTCATAATAAAACAGATATTTTGGACTTACATTTAATTATCATTGGTTTAATAAAACTTTGTGAATGCTCTCTTATGTTTCATCATATAATGTTATAATTGTGATTCAAATTATTTTTATGGCAGTGTTCAGTGTTCTCTACTCATAATTGAGAGATTAAAAATGCTTCAGACAAACAGGAAGTACTGTTATTCATTTGCTAAATGTTAGATTCTTCACTGTAAACATATGAACCTGAATGACAAGATAAAATGTAAAATGATACACTTTCGAAACATGAGGTAGTAACAGGAAATTTAAGAATGCATACTTTGCCGATGGGTGTGTGTTTCACTAATGATCTGTTTAAAAAAGAAAATCACCCAAACCACCATATAAACACTCAGCTGGATTAAAATGAAAACGTTAAGCACTCATGCCTGGCTTTTCTTATTGTTCCTAGTCCAAACTGACAGGAATGAGGTTTCAGATCAATCTTATTTTATACATAAGTTTGAGTCACTGCACGTTAGGATGATATATAATGCTACAAAAGTTGATTAATAAAAGTACAACATTTTATACATCTATACTTGTTAATGAAATATGTAAAGTGTAGAAAGGACAAAAAAAATCTAAAATAAAGGAGAAAGAGATTTTTTTTTTTTTACTTTTATATTAACAAAACTATTGAAATGGGACAGAAATTTTTGCCAAAGCAGTGCAGTGGACTGGAAAAGTGTGATGCTTTTAGTTTGTATATTAAGCACATTTAAACCAAATATCATTTGGTAGTATATATTTTTTAAATAATTTTTTATTATAATCATATGTAAGTTTTCGGGTTGCAAAATAATATTAAAAATTAATTCATTTACAATAAAAAAAAATTCATTCATTTACAATAAAAAAGTGTAATTTCTAAATCTTATTGCAATAAGTTATATAAAAAGTTAATTAAGTTAATAAAAACTGTATATTAGTCAATCAAACAATGCAAATATTGTTTTGTGTCCTCAGAAATGGTTTAAACTCCAGTAAACAATTAAGGTGCAAATCCATCCAGGTGTGCGTTCAGTGTCATATGACACATTACCACATCCAAAGAAACATCAGACAACAACAACATAAAAACATTTGACACACTGCGTTACACATCTAGACGGAGGAATGTAGCTGTATTGTGTCACTGTGTTTCAGCCCTGCGTTCAGTACCCACAGTGCATTTCCAGCCTCACCATCATCTTCATCAGCCTCAAAATCAAGTCCAACAACTTCACCACTATCTTCATCATCAGCACCCGAGACACACAGAAAAGCAATATAAAGGCAATAAAATACCAGAAAGGCAAACTGCATATTTATATATAGTTGCTTAAACAATACTCACATTCAGCATTTGCTTTAGTAACATTTATGCCAAATACAGATTACATACAAATGCAACATTATATTTACAAATACAATTTCCAAAGAAACAGCAAATAACATACTGAAGTAAGGTTACAATTTTGAAGCAGCAAGAGTGAAACAAGCTCTAATAATCTTCTTTAATTAGAACTTAGAAAAATCAGTTTTCACAGTGTGGATATTGTGTTCATTTTAACGCTCAGTTCAGTAGAAGAGAAGAGAAGAGAAGAGAAGAGAAGAGAAGAGAAGAGAAGAGAAGAGAAGAGAAGAGATAATATGGAATTCTGGCTAAATTTAAAATGATAGCTATATGATGCAGAATTTCCTTGGAATAAATATTATTTTATATTTTATTGTCCATAATTTTCAGAAAATACCAGCATGATCACAGTCTTTCACAATGAAGAGGCAATGCTGTGCAGGATGTAAGTGATTCTTAAAATTAATTTTCATTTGAGCACTGAAAACTATGGTGGTACAAATATGACTATTTGCATTCATTACACGAATAAAAATATATTCACTCAAACTTTTAGAAAGGTGTATTCTGATATGACTGATGCAGTCTTGAATTATTATGCACTCCATGTTCAGTTCAGTAAGCTATATTGGCTGCCTTGTATTTGTTTACACTTTAAATAATAAATCACTAATATTTTGGCAAGGGATTTCTAAGTGAGGGGTTTTGAGTGCTGATTAACATTACTAAGTTCATAACACATGCTCCAACACGCTCATTTTAGATACTATTATCTAGATATTACTATTATATAGTGAGCATTATCTCGGTTTCTTTTCTGGTTAAAGTTAATTCTCCACCTCGAGGGCTTGATGAGGAGGCAGCAATGTGAAGACTGCAGTCTACGAGTGCTAAAACATCAGCAAGAAACATCACTGACAACTACATCAAATCATATTTATTATATTAGAGCAGCAGACCCTCTGTGAGAATAAGTAGTTCATAATTTTTTTACCTGACCTTCAGCATCTGGTCTCCCTCCACGTGTTTGACGAGTGTGTAAATGGTGTCACTAGATGGCACTAGAGGGCAAAACCTCTGATGGAACCTCGCCTGACGGGTGTCACTATTTTAAGTAGCCTTACTCATTTTCTCTAGCTAAAATATTTGAATGTTATATGCAATTGTATTATAAAGTTTATGTAGGCCTATATCTTTTCAGGTTATTATAACCAGTGTTGGGGAAAGTTACTTTTAAAAGTAATGCATTACAATATTGCGTTACTCCATAAAAAAAAGTAACTAATTACGTTACTTAGTTACTTTTTATGGAAAGTAATGCGTTACGTTACTTTTTAAATCTGGTGTTTGTTTTTAAAAAAAAAATAAAAAATTCAAATTTTGGCAAATATAAAAGCCTTTTCACACCAAAAGTGAAATGAATAAGCTTCAGGCTGAAGGAAATGTAAATTTACGTCCGTACAGTTGAATGCAGAAGAAGACATTTCAACACACTTCAGCAATAAAAAAAAGACACAAATGTTTGTCTAGACTCTAGAGTAATTTGTGCTTATTAGTACGGTTGAACTGAATCATCGAAGGTCAGAAGCAAAGACATTGGTTAATAGAATGGGATGAAATACATAAAGGATATTTGTGTTGTTTAACATTTAATTATTGCAGGCTTGTGTCATATTCTGAGTTGCATTACTTTTTTGAGGAATTTTGAGGAATACTGAATCTGTGTTTTTTTTGTGAGAGATGAATTAATGCATATTCATATTTATTTAGAACTACAGTAACATCTTCTGAATTATCTCAACATGGGGACAGCAGAGCTGTCAGTCAATAAATTGAAAAAAAAAAGTAACTTGCGTTACTTATTTGAAAAAGTAATTCAGATATTCTCTTGTAAATTAAAAAGTAATGCATTACTTTACTAGTTACTTGAAAAAAGTAATCT